GATATGTTGAGTAGCAATTATAATCTCAATTCAGTATTCAACAATTTACAATTACTTCCAAGCACTCACTTGCACCTAAAATATATATTGGCAAGACACCTTAAAGGTAATTATTGTTAATAATTGTTACTTTTTCTCCAAATGGCTTTATAGCCTTAAAGCATAGCCACTCACAAGCACACACAGATACATTCATCCCCTTGCATACATACACTGGCCTACATCCACCCACACATAACTGCATGTGCACACATGCATAAATTGCCATTCACTCAACTGAGTACTGGGGGCAACAACTATAATTAGATCATCATTTGCACTTGAGGCATATATGCAGACTTTTGCAATTCTTCATACAACAGGCTGCCTGCTTTAAAAAAAAAATGCTTTAAATAACATTATAATCAGAGTACATTACTTCAAACTATTTCTATTGTTACAACTAATATCAGGGACAAGATGGTTTCAATCACTCGTTGTGTCAGTACATCGGTAACATTTCATAACAGATCTATTCAGCTTTGTATGGTTCTTATTATTAATATAAAATACCTTCCCTTGACTAGCAATACATTTAATACCAAGCCTCAATCAAAGCAGCATATAATGTCAAAGTGAAAATTACTAGCAACAACCTTGTCTTCCTGTGAATCATTTTCCTAAAACATTACTGTCCTGCCAGTTCTCGTTACTTCTTGTAAGAAAGTTCAAGAAAATTTTGTTTGTTCATTTCTTCATATTTCTGTGACAATATTCCTGCAGCTTACTGTTAAATAGCTGGGGGTAGTGGTCACTTGCTCATATGTATAAGGAAATAAAAAAGTATAATAAAATAAAAATAAAATAAAAGAATCAGCATATCACTAGAAGTGCAATTTCTTACTTACTGATATCATCTAGTGTCTTTTATAAGTATACCTGTTTCATGAAGCAGAGCTTCTTTATTTAATAGGCAAGTAAATGTGCTCTTCTTGCAGCAAATTTTCTTTCATAAAAGTCTCATTCTTTTTAGTCAGATTTAGACTCACCCTCACATTCCACCTTATTTTGCAATCTCCTGTCCACTGATCACTAAATGCACTTTAAAGAAAATACTAAAGGTCTGCTATCACATCCCATTATATTATGTACAAAGACATTTTGCAAAAGGCTCCAACCCCTCAGTTTGCAATAGTTAATCACATAAATGCACATCCCTTACTCGTCCTTCTTAACAAACTGTCATGACCAACTTCCATTGCTTATTTCAACTGATGGTTAAGAGTTTAGAAGTGTTATTCGGCACTCTTCTGAACTCACATTTGTAAATATAAATTACAGGGCTGATTTATGTACAGCTATTTAACAATAAAACTATAGGTATAAACTGTTGCAAAATTATTACAGCACAAAGTTTCAGAAACATACCACCCAAATAGTTAATTATATCTAAAAACAGTTTCCTTTCCTTTCAAAAATGGAATTTAATTTTCTAATGTAAATCATTCACAAGCTCCTTCAAGTGTGTTTTAAAATATGTAAGCTTCTATTTCCAAACAAATCTAAACATCCATATATGTACAAGCGTACATGCACTCACACTTTCACGCACATGTGTGAACACTCTCTCTCTCTAAAAGTGAAACAAAAATAATACTTCATGGGACAAAAACCAAATACATACAGAGGCCAAAATACAAGTGTATAATTTATGTCATACTAGAGAACGTGGAACGCTATGCTAAGTCAGCTGTGATATGTTCATTATGTTGAAGCTTTGCTAAAATTTTATTAAATGAAAAAAGAATATATACATACACAGAAATCTCTTCATATCACTTACTAACATCACTAAAAGGCTACTAAAAAATATTTACATTTCATAATTGTTCCAAGTACCTTGAGGAGCAAGTGAGAGAGTCAGGCAAGAAAGAAGATTGAAGAGAAAGGAAAAGAAGCGGCAAGATGAGAAAGACAGCAAGAGAGAGAGAGGGAGAGGGATGGGAAGGAGGGAGGGAGGCAGAATGGAGAGGGGGAGTGAGAGGGGAGGGGGAGTGAGGGAGGGGGGGGAGTGAGGGGGAGGGGAGAGGGAGGCTGAATGGAGAGGGACTGGCAAAGAGGCAAGAACAAGCTAAAAGGCTGAGAAAATGAAAGAGAGAGGTCATGACAAAAAGAAAGATACAAGAAACAAAGATAAAGATGAACGGGAAAAAAATAACCAAGAAAAAGCAGGCACTTCAATTTCATGAGTCCACTATTCAGGCAACGCACGAATGGAGGAAAACAAAAGAAAAAATTTAAATGTCATACTGAAAACATTAGCCAATATGGAAAATGAATTACACAAGTCAGTTTAAAGTAGGAAGTAGTAAGAGCAGCTTGTTGTTTAACAGCAGTTGCAATATAATAAAAATAATTTTCATAATCACAGGAATATTCATCATCATCAACAAAAAATACATATATATATATAAAGATGATTATATATCTCAGAAACAAAACTAACAATGAAAATGCTGACGATGACTGTGATGATAATGATTTTCATTACAATGATAAAAATAATCATAATAATAGTAATTAATATTATTATCATTATCATGATTTAAATAATAATAATGATGATGATAGCCATAATGATGGTTATAATTGAAATGCAAAAAATATTACAAATATTGATGATCATAATGAAAATGGTGGGGAGTGCAAAGAAGATTATGATGATACATGTTTATCATGAAAATAATAACAGAAACATTAGTAAAGGTAATAAACATATCAAACAACAATAGTAATAGTAGCAGTAGTAGTAACAGTATCAGCAGAAGTCATAGTAGTAGTTGTAGTAGTAGTAGTAGTAATAGTAGCAGTAATAGCAGTAGTAATAGTAGTAGTAATAGTAGTAGCCGAAGTAGTAGTCCTAGAAGTCGTAGTAGTCGTAATATTTGTAGTCATACAAGTCATAGTAGTAGTAGCAGTAGTTGTAGTCGTAGAAGTCATAGTAGTAGTTGTAGTAGTAGTAATAGTAGTAGCCATAGTAGTAGTCCTAGAAGTCATAGTAGTAGTAGTAGTAGTAATATTTGTAGTCATACAAGTCATAGTTATAGTAGTAGTAGTTGTAGTCGTAGAAGTCATAGTAGTAGTAGAAGTAGTAGTTGTGATGATAATTACAATGATATTAATAATTATGAACAGCTACAAAATATTATGATAATTATCATTACAACAAATGATCCTGATAATAATAGAACTACCAATACCTATACCCATACCAAAAGAAGTGGTAGTAGTATTAGTTATAGTAGTAGTGTAGTAGTAGTAGTAGTAGTAGTAGTAATAATAATAATAATAATAATAATAATAATAATAATAATAATAATAATAATAATAATAATAATAATAATAATAATAACAACAATAACACTACCAATGATGATAATAATATGAAGAACAGTAATAATTATATATGATAAATATAATAATAATAATAATAATAATAATAATAATAATAATAAAATTAATAATATTGATGATGATGATGATGATGATGATGATGATGATGATGATGATGATGATGATGATGATAACAATGACAATAATAATAATAATAAAAATATAATAATAATAATAATAATAATAATAATAATAATAATAATAACAACAATAATAATAATAATAATAACAATAATGAAAACAATAATAACTACAAAAGCAACAAGAAAATAATCAGAAAAATTAAAGTAATCATCATCATCATCTTAACAATAATAATAAAATAATAATAATAATAATAATACAAATAACAAAAATAATAACTAAAATTATAATAATAACAATGATAATAATAATAATAATAAATATAGCAAATAACAGCAACAAAAAAATGCAATAACAACAATAACAATAATTATAATTGTAATAATAATAATAATAATAATAATAATAATAATAATAATAATAATAATAACAATAATGATAATATAAATTAAATAATTGTCATTATCATAATAACAATAATGACGACAAAAAATGTAATTAAATAAAATCATTATCATAATAATAATAAAAATATAAATAATAATGATAATAATAATATTAATAATAATAGTAATAATAGTGATAATAATAATGATGATAATAACAAAAATAATAATAAAAAAAAAAAAAAAATAATAATAATAACAATGATAACAATAACAATAATAGTAATATCAATAATAAAAATAGTAACATTAATATTAATAATAACCACAATGCTGATGATAACAATGATAATGATAATAATAATAATAAATTGTAATATTAACAATTATAATGCTAATGCTAATGTTGATATTGATGATGATGATGATGATAATTACTATATAAGTAATAATAATAACAAAAATAACAATGATTATAATGATGATGATGATGGTGACAACAACTTTGAAGAAGATGATGATGATGATTCCTCTTACAGAAAGACAAGAAAAATTGTATATTTTTTTCTTTTCTTTTCTTTTTTTTTTTTCTTTTTTTTTTATACAAGTTTTGTTCCGTTTTAGAACTCCATCGAGTCATCACTATATGACACTGCCACGTATGAATAGAGTAAGAAAGGTGAAATGCACTATGCTGACACTTGGTTGTAACTTCACGGAGATCAGGAAGTACACGCGCATGTAAATCTAGTTCAAGTCTATGCAACATTAGGCCAACTTGCAATTCTTGGATTAGCTCTACATGATGAGAATGCAAGATCAAACAAGAGAGGAACTACACTATGCCCATTAAACCTGCCCTGACAACTATCTCTAGTGGAAATGGGTGCTTTCCTTAAAGAGCCAAATCTATGATTATGTAGGGTCTGTACCGACTTTCTAAAAAAATACTATACATATGGCAGCTTTCACTTACACTGATTGAAGATTATACTTAAACAGTTGCTAAAATTCCTGACTGATGCTGCATTTGACAGACAAAAATTGCATACATAAAATACAGGAACATATAATGGTCAAATTTGTCATACACACTTAATTCAACATAGTTTATTCATAATTGATTTCCACAGAGTCACTGGAGCTAATTTTTATGCATTAGCAGATTCTAATACAGTTTATAAATATACCTATTCTATAAATCTATAAAATACTGTATGATCCTGTGCGTGAATTCTACCAACACACCTGGAAAAGCTGTGTTTCTCTCACTATGCTTTCAATGACATCTTAGAACAGAAATAATCACAATTGGTTTTTAAAGCCTCGTCTAATTTCTCACGTAAATCTCATAAACCACTGCCTGCTGCATCATTTGTCTCCTCTTGCCTCTAACACTTCTTCAGTGATGCCACAGAATATTATTTCCTTTACTTAAAAGGCAAAATAATATATGTATATAGCTAGAATCTACCTGATCAACACAAATCTCCAATATGCTACAGTCAGCATCATCTGTTGTTTTGCTGCCGCACTACTCTTGTCCCCCCTCCTAATATCATACAATCAGGCCTGGCAACTCTTGCCTCTTGCACTCCACTACTTGTCACTTTTGTGTTGGTAACATCAAGCACTTTCAATGAGGGAACCAGGCGAATGATTTCCTGTAGTCCAAAATCTGTTATTGCACACCCTGACAGTACTAGTGTATGTAGAAATTTTGTCTTCTGGCCAAAAGCATACACTAATTTGTCTGATAACCCTTCATCTGGGAGCTGATATGGTTCAGAGCACAATTCTTCATCTGCATCTTCCCTATGTTCACCGTAATCGTCTCCTAACTCGTCTTCTAATTCTTCTTCATCCTCCTCCTCCTCCTCTTGCTTATCTTTACAAGACTCTGCTTCTTCTTCCTCTTCATCTCGACTATCCTCTTCTCTTTGTTGATCATTATTTGCCTGCTGGTTGTTTGTCCCCATCTGGTTTCCTTGAGGAATCTGTTGTCTTCCTTCTTCTGCTTGAGCAACGCCATTACGTTCATTATCATTTTCATCAGCATCCTCATCATTATTTTCCTCATGCTCTACAGGCCTACCATCTCTGCCAATTAAATAGTGC